TTTGCTCAGAACCAAAACCCCTAACCAGCCAAGCACCAGGACTCATAGTGCACACACTCCTTCCTGCCAGTCTGGAGAAAGGCAAGAATGTCGTATGAGCAATGGCTGAGGGAATTTGATTTGTTTAGCCTTGAGAAGAGACTCAGGAGTGACCTCATCACTCTCTACAACTACCTGAAAGGGTGTTGTAGAGAGGTGGGGCCTGGTCGAACACATGTCCTATATGAAATGACTGAGGGAATTGCATTTGTTCAGCCTTGACAAGAGGCACCTCTGGGGTGACCTCATCACTCTCTACAACTACCTGAAAGGGTGTTGTAGAGAGGTGGGGCATGGTCTCTCCTGCCATGCCTGCAGAGAAGGACGAGAGGGAATGGCCACACACCGAGACGGGAGATTCAGATTAGGTATTAGGAAAATTTTTTCACTGTTAGGGTGGTCAGGCACTGGAATAGGTTGTTCAGGGGGCGGTGGAGTCACCATCCCTGGAAGTGTTTAAGAGGTGTCTGGACCCGGTGCTGGAAGATATGGTTTAGGGGTTACAGTGGTGTGACAGGTTAATGGTTGAACTTGATGATCTTAGAGGTCTCTTCCAGCCTTGATGGCCTATGATTCTAAGAAGTGGAAGAAGCATTCTCTCAACCAAACACACAGTACAGATCCTGGGCAAGGCTTCATGCTCATATACAAATATTTGGAGAGCAGCAGTCACTCCATAGTGTCCCATCAAAACTGAGAGGTGGCTTCAAAATGGCACATGCCCCTTCTCCAGAGAAAGCCTCACCATTTGGAGAGATAAAACTCATAGAACTTGACTGGGCATCGGAGAGGGTTCATCCTGTTCTCCCGCTGCTCCAGCATTGGTGCCTCCTCCTCACGCTTCCGCTTTCCAGAGCCACCATCTGCAGAGGGGGAGAGAGCTGGATCGTGGCTGGATCTCAATCAGGGAGGCAGGGGGAAGGACAGATGTTCCATGAGACACTACCTCGGCTTTTCTTCTGCTTGGCAGGAGCATAGTAGCGGATGCTCACCACCTTTGTCATGCCACGGGCAGTGGTGCACTTGCGGGACTGGCGCACCACGTTGGTGAAGGAGAGCTGCATGTGCTCCTCTGCTGTCTGCAGCCCAAAGAACTTCGTGTTGAAGAACATGAGAGTGTTGAGAAGCACAAAGGGCGAGTAAACACCCAGCTGTTTGCACTCCCAGAGGTGCTCCTCCTCCACACGTGAGAAAACTGTATCTGCAACACACAGAGGAAGAACCAGATCACATCATAGTGGCCTTGTGACAATACCTTCACCCCGCCCAGAAGAGCTCACTGCAAAAGACTGACACCTCACAATGCCTGTTTCCACAACGTTACTTTTCCAAAGCCATCAGCAGAGCTCGATGCTGGCCCTTCCCAGCCATGAGCCACCCCAGATCACAGTTAAACCACAGGCGAGAACTCAAATCAGTCCCAACTGCTCATCACTAGAGGTGGCCACAAAGTGAACCCCAGGTCAGTGCTGCGCCACACTCAGTGAGACAAGAAGGAAAAGCAGCAGGCAGGAGAGACAAGGCCAGCTCCTGCCTAGACACACAGGCCTGGAGCCAAAAGCCTCTGTCTGGGACAGTCAATATGCAGAGGTGAGGCTGGATCTGTAAACTGACTACTGACAAGACACAGCAGGGAAGGCAGCCCAGATCACAGCATTTTGAAAAGCCTCTGCAGAGCTCTAAGTTAGCCCATTCACAAGGCAGCAGCACAGCAACCTTGGCCAACACTCAGCACAGTGTGCTGGGAACACAAAGGCATGCACCAGTGTGCCTCCTGGCTTGGTATCCTCTTTGCCAAAGTGTGGAGACATCACTGTGAAGTGATGGAAAGAATCAAACTGTCCCAGGATACAAAGCACGTGCTCTGCTCCCAGCTACTCTGACTGTGTGCAGAAGCTGCTGAGGCATGAACCACACTGGCTCTGCTGTTGCTATGGGTCAGCATGACCCCAGGACGCAGCAGGACTCTGCTGCCTGTGCCAAGGAAGAGGGTTGAGGCTGGGGAAGCACAATGAGACCAGAGGAGCCAAGGCTAGGAGCACCAACTGGACATGTGGTGACTAAAGGTACTTTGAAGACACATACTATTTGGTAAGATTGTGGGTTGCCAGCCGCTCAGGGACTTGTTCAGTTCTTGCACAAAGGTCAGGTAGTAAAGGTCTGTAAATATATTCACCATACGATTGTTCTCGAGCAGGTACTAGAAAGGACAGAACACACAGTCAAGAGAAACACAGCAGTACTTGGAATTCAAACTCCCCAGAGAGCCCAGAGCACACATGCAGAGTGACCCTCCTTGCACCACCAGAGGTGCAGGACAGACACTTCTGCGAGTTGCGAGGAAAACCTTGGGGGCATGACAAAGCAGACTTGGTGCTGAATAAAGGACTGAGTTTGAGGACATATCTCCTAGTCCTCAAGGATGTGCAAGAAGGGTGCAAGACTGAGGAATAGTTGCCACCCTACCCTCT